ATGTGGCTTTCATTGTGGTCTTTGGTCTGTTGCTGTTTGTTGTTTTTTTTTTCTCTATAGGTGTGCTTTGTTGTTTAGCTGCTTATTGTTTAGGGTCTCTTTCAGTTGGTGTGTGTGTATTTGTTTGGAGTAATCAAGGTTCAGGTGCATGTACCTGCTTGATACCCCGGGTGGGTTTATTTAGGCCACTGCTAGTTAGTGTGTCTCTCAGTTTTCTCTTCTACCCGTTGGTAGGCTCGTGAGGTTATGTACTAAACTTTGATCTGTTATTTATGAGAATTTCCTATCGTTTGAAAAAAAAAGAGAGAGAAAATTCGAGTGAAATTTATTGGAGATTTTGGCAGTTTCTTTAGTCGCACCACCAAGACTATTCGATGTAGGTATAGGGATAATACATCAGAAGATCATAAGATCTAATAATTTCAAGTCCCCGAAAAATTAATTATCACTGGAAAATATTACAGGTAATCATCAAATTACCAGAAACCGTCACGACCAGCAACTCACGGCCTGCCGCAGCAAATCCCCACGACCGCCCAGCAACGCCCTCGTGATGAAAATGGAGATTTCGAGCCCATGGATGAGAAGAGACGAGAGCCGAAGCAATCGGGTGAGACCCCGCGAAGTGAGTGTGTGCTTGGCCGAAAAGACGAGCGAAAGCTCGAATACAAGGGCGCACGCCCGGAGATCATGCACGGTGTGCGCGCGGCGTAAGGTTCAAACACGAACGCGGCATGACGTGAACGACAAGTTGACAAGAAGCTTCTAGAAGATTCAAAACCAATATTCTAGAAGATACTTATTAATTAGATTAATTATTATTTATATTAATTAGTTTAATTATTTACTAGTTAAATTAGTAAAGTGTTAGTATATATATATATATATATATATATATATAATTATTTAGGCGTTAGCAGGATAGATTAGTTTATTAGTTTAGTAATTGTTATTATATTTAGTTGAACATCCATAATGTTTTGGGTCCATTCAAAAATATATATAAGCCACGTAGGACATAGACCAGTGTAGAAAAATATATATACTCCAATACATGTGCAAGTAGACCGAATCTTGTAAATGTGGCAGCAAGAAAAAGAGACATGATCTACTCTTAAGTCTGATTTAGACATAGAGATTTAGTCTCTTTGCATTGGAGTCATATTTTTTACTTTTATATATTTTTGTACATGTCATCCAAGATTTAGGTCCACTTACATGCCACGTAAGCAAAATTAGACCCAAAGCATTGCAAATGCTCTTAGTTGGCAGGTTAATTATTAGGTCGTGAGTTGTTTTACTTAGGTTTTATTTTGTTTGTGCGTGAGTCATGTAGGTTAGGAGTTATTTAGTTCTTAGGAATTTTAATTAATAGGTATATCTATATTAGATAATTAGTTACCTTAAAATTAGTATTTGATTTTTTGAGTATTAGTCTTTTATTCCTTATAGCATATGTGCTTATTCAATTTTGATGATGTCTTGAATTAATAAAACATCGATCTTTGGTCATCAATCTCTTGTGGTAGAAATTTTTTGAGTTCTAGTACAAAATGCTTATGTCAAAATGGCGGTTCACCGCGTAGTTCAACACAAGATCGAGTTTGGCAAGATATTACGTCCGGCTGACTCAAAACCGTGAGAAGAAAAGGAAAAATCTAAGTCGTCTACAACCTACCGACGAGAAGAAAGCCGTGGCAAGCAACTTTAGAAGCGAACCAAGTATGGAGATACACGATCGCTGCCACCACACGACGCTCAGTCTGCTTCCAGTTTGCGACCGCAAACGATCGCGATGCTCCAGGCCACGCGATCGCAGACGACCCACAAAGTTCTCAGACTAGATCATTGCAGACCTGCAAGGATCCAGATCAGCGCCCCACGCACGACCAACTTCCTGCAGCGCCCAACGCGCACGCTGAGCTAGACCCGCGCCCGACGCGCACACAGACCCGAGGCAACGCCCGATGCACGACGTGTCAGCTCCCGACTGACCCGCGGGACCTGCGACCACCTCCCGACCAATTCCCGGTGACCGTGATCAACTAAGAAGGCCAATTCCGGCTGCCAAGCGAACTCTGCGTTTCAGACTATCTCCTACAGAGGAAATCTACGTCTCTGAGTTAGCAAAAATTTTGAATTGTAAGTCCTAATCCTAACTTTAGATTCTACTGCGTTATGATTTAATTCGTTAAATTCAGATGTGCATATCGATGACGTTCCTCATAGAACTCAATAGAGATGACCCCGACGAGGTCTAGTACGGCATCCCTCAATGTCGACAAAATTTTAAACGTTATCGTTGAACCCTCGTTTCTAGTTCTACTACGCTTAAGGTTTAATTAGTAGTTAGTCTGTAACTTACATGAATTCGACGATCTTCACCAAGTTCCCATTAAATTATATCAAATTAAGTTGCCCCTAAATATGATTGGATTTGCCATGTATGAACGATTTTTTTTTTTTTTAATTAGTTGTAATATTCCGTAAGTTACGTAAATTTGTTTAAAGAATGTTATATTTTTGGCTGCATACTTTTATTTTTATATAGTATATTCATAATTTATGGTGTATTATTATTATTATTATTATTATTATTATTATTATTATTATTATTATTGTTATTGTTATTATTATTATTATTATTATTATTATTATTATTATTATTATTTTTTTATAGGTATTTTGGAGAATAAGTTAGGAATATGGTTATGAGCCTTATTTAAAGGACTCATCTTCTATTATTTTATTCAGTTGAGAATGAAATAAAAATTAATATCGTGAGTTTGCGTGTTTTACGAGAGACTGAGAGAGTATCTCGTTTACTCGTTTATCTTTCCCACTCGTATGCTTTCCCTACATCAGTTGGTATCAGAAGTCAGCACGATCAAGATGGCGCCGCGGAAGGACGACATCGACGGGCGTGATGCCACCATTGAGTATCCGGGTCAACAAGCCACGGGCTTCGGCCGCCAGATCAATCAATTGGATCATCGAGTTGAGGTTCTTTCGACGGGGATCAAAGAAGTGCGTCTTACGATCAACAACGTGGTTGAGGATTTGCAGACGAACCGTGACGCCAGCAACCGGGGCATTCGCAGGGGAGTTCACGGAGGACGTGGAGGTCGTGGTCCAGGCGGGGCGCCCCGTTGGAGATCTCCACAACCACCGTCCAGCGACGAAGACGGCGAGGATACCATCTCGGAGGTGAATCCCTTCGGTGAGTGGCAACCTCCGCACGTCGAGGCTGATCCCTTCGCTGCATATGGCGGTCGTGACATGCGGCGACGGGCCCGGTCTTCGTGGGCGGCGACGATCAACGCAACGATAGGGGCTGGCGCGAGGAGGCAGCCTTCGCTGGCAGATATCGTGCCCGACACGATTCGATTGGAGACTTGATCACGAATATGGTAAATGAGAGGGTCCGTTTCACGTTGACATCCCCAAATTCGACGAAGAGCAAGTTGACGGGCCATTGTACAATAGTCCTCCAATGTTTGATGAAGAACCCGAGGAGGTGAATGAGCGTCTTACCTGTGAAGTGGACAGTCTCTACGACGGTTCGCCGATTTTCGACGAGGAGCCTCTGGGCCAGGAGGAATTTAATCATGTTTCGGATATCGAAATTCAGCTGTTGGCAGAATTTGGTGTTCGATTGGGAGTTATTCTATTGCGCAGGCTCAAAATTTTCTCCCATGGGAATTTGTTGCCACCTTGCAAACAAATGCTATTTTTTGATCCCCACAGCGATTTCAAAATTCTGTGTGTGGTTGTTGCATATGTCTTTTTATGAATTTCAAGGGGGTGATACCATGGAGGTGCGACATTCAACCTTCGTGTTCGACCGAGGAAAACGACGGGGGTTTCTTACCATGGGTTCGACACCACACGCCTGCCACGGGTGCGCATCGGCTTCAAGGGCAAAGCCTTCCGAACCGGGGAAGAATGGTGTAGAATAATAATAAATATTATTATTATTATTATTATTATTGTTATTATTAGCATTATTATTTCATAGGTATCTTGTAGAATAAATTAGGAATATGGTTATGAGCCTTATTTAAAGGACTCATCTTCTATTATTTTATTCAGTTGAGAATGAAATAAAAATTAACATCGTGAATTTGCATGTTTTACAAGAGAATATCTCGTTTACTCGTTTGTCCTTCCCACTCATACGTTTTCCCTACATCAATTCATTATCTTACCTTCGATATATGCAAATAATTTTTTAAATATATTTGCAATTTATTAACAAAGAGTTGCGGTGCATGTGTAAAAGAACCATGTATAAATATACTCATCAGAAGATGAGGCCAAAGATATTTATTCAATGAATTCATAGTACTGTTCCTCAACACTGGACAGCGTCAATCATGTAACAAAAAAGGGCAACCCTACAATAGAGGTTACCCTTGAAATTTGTTCATAATATACAAGATTTCTTCACTCATTTAAACAAAGCTATAAGAACCAAGGGTCACATAGACCTCACTGTGACCCAAAAACGACAGAGATTACTGTAAACAAACAAACAACAAC